CTTGTTTAATCGTGTCTGAGTCCCTCTGTGTGCTCTCTGTCTCTGCATCACATCTAAACTCTGATTTTATTTTCCTTTTTTCACTCTCTGAGTTCAAATCTGATTTTTATTTAACCAAGTTTCAAAGATGAACATTTCCACTTTTGTGTTTTAAATTTCTGCTGTTAAATCAGAGTTGTGACACAGTGATTAGAGCAGACGTCCAGTAGGATGAACGTCATTTCCCAGTAAACAGCTCCACCTGCTGGTCACAGAGACACAGTGCAGCTAAGCGAGCTGCTGTGAAGCGTGTGCGCTCAGTTGCTTTATGTGAGAAAAACATCTACTGAGTTTTTCAGACAAAGCTGTTTGCCTGCTGTCGCAGGTACATACACAGTTAACCTGAATATTAAAAACAGACAGTGTAATGTTCCCATAATTCAGTTTAATTAGTTCTGTCACAGCCGGTAAAATGATCAGGAATAAACAGCATCTCAACATGACAAATACTTTTGATATTTTCATTGTTTTGTTCATCCTACCTTTCAGAACACGGTGTGGGTAATTATTGTTTTATTGAAATATCAGTTTTTCTGTTTTTTCACAGGAAAGTTTTCTAAAATTTATTTAATGTGAATTTTATCAAAGTAAACAGATGGAATATTTGTGCCTAAACAGGTTCCAGACAATATTTTTTATTCATATTTATTGTAAAACTTTTATATCTGAATCATGTGGATTTACTCCCAAACACTTTCTGCTCAAAAGTTTGATTTTTCATCATTTTTATCCCTGTTAGATTTCACCAGCAGCCCATTGAGTTTTGTTTTAGCCTCAAAAGAAAAGCTTCCAGGATCTAGTTTGTTTGAAATCACGTGTCTTTGTGTGTGAATGTCGGTCGGGTGGATGGAAGATTAAAAAAACTTTTAAATGCACTGCCGAAAACTTCATCCAACAGTTTTCCAGGATTTGCGAAATCTGAAACATTCCTGCATCACTGCCTTCAGTGGATCTGCAGAGGCTCGCAGGATGCTTAAACGTGAAGGACAGAACTCAGGAAATCAGGGCCTCTGTGCTGCTCTCACCTTTGACCTCAGCAATAAACTAAAGAGGCAGAGATGTCATCATCCTGCAACTGCAGAGGCTTTTATTCTAAAAAGTAGAAATCAGTCAGGATGTGGCATGGTGAAACCTCCAGGATCCAGAAGACCAGCTCCTGGACCCACAGGACCTCCATGAGACCATGAGATCTGCCCCTGTAGGCCTGCGGTGTCCTCACACGCCATCTCTTCTTCATGTGTTGTTTAAGAGCGAGTCAAAGTGGAGACAAACTGGACAGCTGCTCTTCGGCCTCCGGGCTCTTGCTCTGCGACTCCTCCTCTTCCTCCCGGCCCCGCTCTACCTCTCAGAGCTGATTTTGTACCGGAGGACAAAATAAGCAATGAGTCTCAGAGAGAAAAAGAAGATGGTGAGGACAATGAAGTCCAGGTAGAGTTTGGCGTCCAGCATGTCCAGCTCCTTGAGGATTGCCTCAGACTTCTGGAAGTGACACGCCTCACCTTCATCGCAGTGAAGATCATCACGACCCAGGCTGTAGATGGACAGGATGAC